ACAGAGAGTTTCATAACATTTTTGTGACGCATTTTGCGATAGGTGACCACTTTAATTGCACTATTTTGCTGTTTCGAAAATGAATGAAAAAACAGTTGTGTTTTATTCGGAAATTTCATCAGTATCTATAAGATAAACAGAAGATCACATGGCCGCTTGGAGATACGAATTTTATCTTCTCGTTTATCTTCTCGCTTCGCTCACTCGTGATAAAATTCGTACCCCCAAGCGGCCATGTCAGTAATATCCTCTATTTTCGCATGAAAACTCGGGAGTTCAACCCTGGCTGTCATCTGCAAATCTCGCATAAATTATAATGAATCTTAATTGATAATCGGTCAGTTCCTATCAATATATTAAAGTGATCTCCCAACATTCTGCGTGGATTTATCACGTTAGAGAGCCCGGAAATATGTGTTCTATCGCTTTTAGGACATAAAATATAACCTGGTAAAGCATCCGCCTGGAAACTGAATTTACCAATTAGGCCATGCGTACTATGTTCATTCAGTTTATCTCCACTTTGGTTCTTATGTTAAAATAAAGATATCTTATTAGACGTTTAGTTGTGTAGTGTCGCTGACTATTTTTACGAGTTGTGCCTTACTTTGAAGAACCCGTAGGGCGAGTTAAAATACCAATAACGAGTAAAAATACTCTGCGATACTACACATCAAATCGACTAATAAGTTATTTAATATCCGACACGCCAAATTGTTATTTCAGTGCGGGGAAATTTCACGGATATTTATTTACAAGGAGTGCGTGACAGAAGTATGCGAAGCAGAAAGGAATTGGCGCGTTGTCGTGTTGCTGTTACTAGTTTCTTCGTTCGATTCGTCCACTAAACTTGGATCTATATTTGCCAGCCATTCCGACTCTTCGTCATCAGAAATATGATTCAAGTTGTCCTCCATTTTGTTTTTTTTTTCATCACTTCAATCCAATTCTTCTCTTGCATGATGCGAGAAAACCTGTCTAACCGGTTCTACAGAGTACAAATACCGCGTGATATTTGTACTCGTCTATGGCGTTATTTGTACTCTACGGAGTGTAGTTGGATAATGATAAATACTACATAAGCTTTGAGGTATTCATGGTGTTACCAGGATAAAAAACCATACCATACTACTAATCGAAGACGTCATGCACTTTCATGACAGTGAAACCAGCATTCTCATGAATTGCGGCTTATTTGTCCTTAGCCGTGTACCCTTAGAAAGTGAGAATTTTGCGATTTCCGAGAAATCAGAAAATCTTGACATCAATAAGAAAAACTATCCGTGTTTAAATGTTTTTTTTATTATTATAATTCTTATGTGGGGAAAAAAAACTAGATTAAACAGGAGGTAAGCTTTTCAAACTTGCAATTGTTTTATAAATTTTCGAATACAAGGAAGAACTCAGCCATATAAAATTTCATCATCATTCGAATGACTGCTCGGTGATAGCGCTCTCAAATTGTGAGTATCAAAGAAAAAAGGAAATGCAAACGTTAAAGCAGCGGAAGTGACTGTGGTTAGTTTTGAGGAGAGTTTTCTGACAGGCCCACGAATCCTACAACGTAAATTAGGTTTAGGATCATTCCCCCTCTCTCCCCTCCCCCAAAAAGAAGAATCAATCATTGATTATTACTTTGGATAAAGCTAATGTTATCTGTTTGTTATCATGCTTGTTTTAGTCTTCTGGAGTTAACGCCTTCAAGGGTAAAGACCGGTCCGTTTTTCATATCAATTACATCACTTAATTTTTTTGTCTTCGATCATGCAAATCACCGTGACCAGCTGGAAAATGAAACGTTCACGAAGGCAATTATACAGCAGATTGTACAGAAAAGACAGTAAATCACGCAAGCTTACCGTTTAAAAAAAGGAACTTCAGTTGTACGGTGGTCGATCTTGTCTTAAAAATCCAACCGTTCTAAAGAGATGAACACTGACGCCTGACGTTTCCTGTAAAACAAAGTAAATTCTTTCATTTTTGGAAGCTCGAATCCATCATTTGTTATAAACGTTTGACGTGCCGAACCGAAATACATTCACCTATTTTTGTTAATATTTTTGTCATCCAAATCACTCCCACTATAAAATGAAATGTTCACGCAGACAATGTGTCGATCATCACCCACAGATAGCTTACCGTTTCAAAAATCAACTCCAGTTGTACTGTGATCGACCTTGAAATGAAAATCCAACCGTTCCAAAGAGATGAATACTGAAGCCTGACGTTTCCTGTGGAAAAGAGAAAAATGTTTCATCTTGGAAGCTCAAATCCATCATATCTTATAAATGCCCAAAACCGAAATAGATTCACTTATTTTCGCTAGTATTTTGTCATTGATTATACAAATCACACCCTGGGTAGAAAACGAAAAGTTCACGAAGACATTCAGAGTTAATTGTCACGCACAGATAGTTTACCGTTTCAAGAAAGAAACTTCAGTTGTACTATGATCGCTTTTGTAAAGAAAATCCACCCGTTTAAAGCGATGGACACTAAAGCCTAATGTTTCCTGTAAAACAGGGTAAAATATTTTGTTTTTACATACTCAAATCCATCTGGCTTTATCTATAAAATTTTGACGTACAAAACCGAAATACATTCACAAAACATGGAACACCTAATTATTCTGACTAAACTGTTGAGCACCTTCTATATCTTCCTCCGAGAGTTTTAACTTTACTCATTCTTCCGTGATTATCGATGTTCATTTTGAATGTTACGAAGTCGCGAATGAAAAAAATTATGAATTTCATTATTTCCTCCTTAAGTTTCCCTCTCGAAAATTCTGCATAAGCTTGGCTCACCAGCGCGACATTTGGCAGTTGACTTTATTAGTTGAGGGTAACTCTCAACAAATCAACTGTTACCCGCGCTGGTACTACACAATTTGATTAACGGATACAATATACTTTAGGTTCTAAATGAAATTTGAAACTTTTAAACTGACCTCGTTTGTGATTGTCTTCTCCGTTTGTTGACTGTATTTTTCAGTTTTTATCGTAGTGTGATATCGCAAAAGTCTTCCACCAAGTCACTGCATTAAACAAACCGTGATCGAGGTGTTACTCCTTTTTATATCACACTAAGAAATTGAACCTTATCGTTTGTTTCAAACAGCAGTACTTACCACGACCTTAAGACATCATGCCTTGCTGTAAAGAAAGCCATCTCTACCAGACTGTTTGCTTTCTTTGGACCAAACGTCACTGGTCCCTCACATCAAATGGCCAATCGAATTCAGGCTGATCTTCTGCCTATATTTGTCACTTTCTCAGTCGTTCTCGTCCTCAGTCCTATCGTTTTCTCGGCCGGAAGCCTATTCACGCTAAGCAAATGCAAACCTCGGATAATAAATTTTTGTTAATTGCAATTGAATCACCTAACCAACATAATTACTTTTGATCAGAGGAGATACGATAAAGTTGCAGTAAATGAGGCATTCATTATATTCCTGTCAAAAAAGGAAGCGTAGGAGAACTTTAACTTTTACGATAATCTTCTTAGATATTAAAAAAAGATCAATAAATTCCATCCAAGTAAGTATAGGGAAGCTACTTACTCCGATTCCATGCGCATGCGTGGAAAATCATATTATTCATTGCTTTCTGATGACTCAACTTTTGTCACAAAATGGCAAAGAAAATAAAACTTGAACATGTATTGCGTAAGGAAGGAAGTAGTTATTAAACATAGATAAGTGACAGCTACTTTTCTGACTTCCAAGTTCACTGTCACGTATCACGCAATATCATCGACTAACTTTGCGCAATGCTTAGTCTTAAAGTTAAAAAACGGATTCTTTACTAAGAAATAAATAGATAACAAAGCAAAGCAATGCAAGGGCATTGAGTACCTATTTTCTCCTTTCTTCCCAATTATGTTTTCTACTTGACCTCCCCCCCTTCCTGTTGCTATTACTATGGTGATGAGGGAGTAGGGTTGGGGAGGGGTTTTTTTTTTTCCCACAGCTGAACTATGTTGTCTTCTGTCTTACCACTAAAAAAAGGGATTGTTCTATCATGGTCCAAACAAATTCATTTGCTATGAAAAACTGAATAAGGTGTGTGGGAGTCCAAACCCAGATCCGAGCAAAGAAACTATTGCGATTGTTATTTGTATCTTAAACAGGTGGAATCTGTAACCGCGTCTCTTGCTCTGCGCGAGGAACACTTCTAAGTCTCGCATCGAGTGGAAGGTTTCTCCTGGCAGGTAGTCTGTCTTGTCGTTCATGTCTTGCACGAGTGCTGACTCGTGCCAAGTGACGTAACTGGCTGACAAAAAAGGGGGTCTTAGTTTTCGTAACACCCCTCTCAAACTCTGGATGCATTAACCTTGAACTCTCATGCATATGAATACCCAATTGCAAGACAGAATTTCTCTTTACAATCAGTACAATACCGTATCAGGCAGGAAAGCGATGAGAAGTATGAAAAATATTAACCAAGGGACTATTAGTTGATCCAATATTAAATTCTCCAAACTCAAATCATAAGAATTGTATGAAAGACAGTAGTGAGAAGTAGTAATGAGTACCTGGGACTGTTTTGGATTATTAATCAACTTTTAATTGTTAACGAACTAAGGTTGAGGGTGGAGGGAGGGGGGTGGTGCAAGTTTCAGGCTTCCTAGGCCAGGGGCAAAAATTTTAGTAAGCTCTGTTTGAATATTGTTGTCCATGTTCTAGCTTCAAGATCTGAAGATTTTGGTCGATTTTGATGACAAGGGTTACCTGCTGTAGATTTTCACAAAACCAATGCAGGACAGACCAACACTATTTTTAGAAGTTATACAGAGGCACAATCACCAGGTGAGAGAGAGGATGGGTGGGGTGGTTGGGTCCTTGATGAGGAGTGTTGTATTGCTAAGGATGTATCTTCTTTTCTGGCTATCAAAACTAAAGGCACTTCGACTTAATATCGTAACTTCTGAGCTAAGGACATCCCAACCATTAATAAGATGGAAAATATATATCTTAAGGAGCCAGTGAGTTCTCAAAGTGAAGGCGCGAGGAAAGCGCGGGAAAACGCGGGAAAACGCGGATGACCAAATCGTGATTGGTGTCTGTGTTGTTTCCGATTCGTTGAGAGGGTGGCATGAGGTTTCTGATCCAATCACAGAGCGAAGCATAGCAAACGCAATGCAATCCAGGATCACTTCGATTATCGATGGAGAACTGCTCTATGAGGAGCTCCTCGCTGTATGAAAACTTTCTTCTGGTCTTCAATCGTCTTCCATTCTTACAAACTCACGAACAGTCACGCGTCACGATTGTACTGTAACATTTATTCACGAGTTTTGTTTTGTTTTTTACAGATCTTATATGATTTCATCTTGATTTTCTGGTTTTATATTATGATCAAATTACTTGTATATATTTCACGACACGTGTTATTTGAGTGAGAGGTTGTTTGGTAAGCGGATGGTGTTGTTACAACAGCCTTCTCATAAATCCAGAGAAAACAAAGCTGCTGGTGTTGGGCACACGTCAGATGCCTCAGAGGCTGCCCGCTGATTTTCATGTCACCCTTCTTGGAAAGAAGGTCACTTCATCTCCCTCTGCTCGGGATCTCGGCTTGCAGATAGACAGAACTCTAAGCTATGATGAACATGTTACCCAAACAGTGTCTTCGTGCTTAGGTAGCTTATGTCAGATTAATAAGGTAAAGCATCTGTTTGATGCTAAGACACTAGAACGGGTTATAAATGCTTTACTGTTTAGTAAGCTATATTACTGTTCTGCGGTTTGGTCTAATACTTCAATGAAAAATATTTCGAAGTTGCAGAAAGTTCAGAATCTCGCTTGTAGAATTATCACTGGAAAGCGGTAATTTGATCATATAACACCGGTATTAAGAGAGCTAAGGTGGCTCCCCGTATCCAGTTTTCTGAAATACACACTTGGAGTTTTATCATTTAAATGTGTCAAGGGGTTAGCCCCCAGCTACCTTTGTCATAGATTTAAGACACGTGCTTGCGTTCATGATTGTAATACCAGATATAAGCATAACTTGAATATCCCAGCTTATAAGTCACCTTCTGCGCAACGCACATTTTTATATCGTGCCACGAGTTTCTGGAATTCTCTCCAACGTGAAGTAAGAGAATGTGTCAATTTGCCAACCTTCAAGAGACATTTTAAGGAATTTCTCGGTATTTTTTTTTTTAGGATTGAGACATATGTTAAAATTCATGAGTTTTGATTTAGTGTTGATTTCAATTAGTTTTTAAAACCCATTGAGTGGAAAACTAATAAAGAGGACCTAAATCAATAAACGAATACACATTAATCTACGACCGTAGTTACGTGCCGTAAAACAAACATTGGATGGCTGGAGAGTAGCCAATATTGAAGATGCGAACTGTTATTGGTATATCAGATTGATAACTTCAATTCTTCAGGTGAATATGCAACAGAGTGAATTTTTTTATTCTTCTTTTCTCTTTTTCTTGTGCAGGGCTTTGGAGCTGGAAACTTCCGGTCGCTTTTTGAAGCCAATGCAAGATTGGAGAGGAAACCTTTACTAGGCTCTTATATCATACCTGGCTATTTCTTAGCTCTTAAATCGCATGAATTATACAAAACAAACTTATGCGAAGTAGGTAGTCAAATCACATGAGCTGTATTTTTCAAAAGAAACAACACATTCATCAAAAGATAATCATCTTAGTGCGGAAAAGGCTGGAGATTAAACCTGTGTCAGCTAAAGGAACATCTGAGTTTGGTTGGGTTTTGGATGACTTGCGCACTTTTTTAGGGGGACGTGCGCGCATCTTAGAACGATGTAAATGATTATATGATATGATATGCAATTCTAAAAAAAGACGGCATTTTGTCGACAAAATGTCGTTAAATTCTAGGGCTTGAATTATTTCATTAATAGAGAAATAAGTAAGTTTTTGGGTGAAATGTGAACTGTAAACGAGGACTGAGTTTTCGTTTAACTTAAATACCTCGGAGGTTTTAGTTATTGTGCTGTAGAACAGTAAAGGTCAATCGAACGATTAAACTCAAGTTTACTGCGATGGAAGGCGTTTAGATTGAGTTACATGGACACAGTAGACAGTTTGTGATTATGAGGATTGATCATAAAGAGTGATTCTATTTACAATGGGAAATCAAAGCAATTTTATCTTAAAAGAGCCGAGTAAAGCCACTTATCAGTGGCGTTTGGGAGGAGTTGGCGGGGAGGGGGGGGGCTGACTTTAGCGGAAACCATTGGCTATCTGACGTTCTACTCTAACGTACTTTGCTCAATCTCTTTTCTACATCAGCTTATAGAAACTTAAGAGCAAATGTGGCCAAAAATCGAACGTTTTCAAAATATTGTGGCAACAGCCAAAAAATCGATTCGGCTTATATTCTCAAGTTGGGTAGGCCTAATGGTAAAACAAAGCACTGCATACTTCGTTTGGCTCAGTGAATATCGATTTATTTTGAAGAAAATCGACGACTGAATTTCGCCAAAATGCCGCTTTTGAAGCTCAAAATTTCAGACGAATCTCGGAGCGTCGCGCCACGAACTGAAAACACTTGGACCGATAAAAAGTACCAAATCTTGAAAAACAACATTAATACATGTGTTGACGGCAATTTGAGCAATTCTTGATCATTTATTTACACAATCTAATTGAATTTATCCGACCCTCTTCTAACAAGATTAAAAATAGGTCAAAAG